TTTTTTTTTTCTTATCTGCCTGAATTTGTTCCACGTTTTGATTTAGTACATGGGACCCCTGTTCTTTTAGGTTAATATGAATCAACAATTACAGCTGAATTAAAATAGAAGAGTTTCTCAGGACGGAAGCCTCTAACTCTGAGGAAGGTAGAGTACAGATTCATAGCAAAACTTTGAACTTAGGGCTGTGTGACTGCAGACCAAAGTTATATTAAGGAAAATTGAATAGATGATTGTTTCTACAAAATACATCCATCAGATTTATATTAATAAAAAATGAAAACACAGTCCTATTTCATCATTAAAGTAAAACGTGGTAAGAGCGAGCCTGCTTTAGAAAGAAACATTTGCAATATTTTCCAGAGGACAAAAAAAGTCAAAACAAAAACAAAAATAACAAAAATAACATTAAATGATTACAGAAAGGCAGTAATCTGTGTAGTACTTTTTAGAGTCAGCTATTATCTCTTACTGTAAAATCCTGGCAATATCAATATTCTCCAGTTTGACTGGTGACTGGCCTGAACTTATCCTGCTTGCTTTTAGGAATACAGACAAGAGAATGGCCACCTCTATTCATCTATTATTGTTTAAATAGCTGTCACAGCTTCCTGGATGTCTGCTTCCATGTTATCTGGTGAAAGAATAAAATGGCAGCAAACCAAATGCGGTGAAAAACGTTAGTTGCATTTGGCCCAAACCAGCTGTTGTGCTCAGATAAAATCTGGTTTGAACAAAAAACAGGTGATTTTTTGAAACTGTGGAACAATGGACGTAGTGAATGTAGCATTTACAAATATTTTAAAAGATATGCATCGCATTCAGACTTGACTATTATGGTGATTTAGTTCATATGCCAAGGCACAGATTCATCTCTGTTCAGGTATTGTAGAGGCTTGGGTAACAGCTTGTCCTATGCTTGTTTATTCGTTAATTTATAACATCTCAGTTCTCAGCACAAGCGAAGGCAGGCCTGGGCATTTCTTTTCTCTGCTTTGTTCTTTCTTTTTTTCCTTTCTTTGCACTGCCGTGCTCCTAAATTCGGCACTGGAGTTTTAAATTGCCCCTCTTGATTGCCCCTCTTTCCCCTCTTACCACGACTTGTCTTTGAATGCTTCCTCTGATGAGTTCAGGCTAAAAATCTCTTGTCTCCTAGCAAGGGCTTATCAGCAGTCTTGTTCTGCTAGTAGTTTAAGGGAACTTGTAGTGCCTTTGCAACTGTTTACAAGACGTTAGGTTAATGACTATTTGGAAACAAAGATATATCATTGTATTGAGAATAGAGGACATTTGCAGGAATGGAAGATTTTTAAATGCTTCAGTGGTAAGAGGTCATATTATTTTGCTACTAAGATATGTGGTTATGTTTTAATTGGCTGTGTTTACAATGTGGTTTTTCTTAAAAATGCATTTTTTCGAGATTCTCTCAATCATTGCTTATCTCACATCCACAAATATCCATGCTTCCTGTGTATAATATGTACATTTGCTCTGTTTCAAACATACTCACACTCAAAGTTTATTTCACATGGGACATCAAGAAAACAAAGTCACATTAGTTTGACTTATTTTTCTGAGTTGAAGTTTCATTAAAATAAGTTCATAGTAAGTTCATCTCTCTAGTCTTACCCTTCAGTGTAAATTTGTTTCTGTTATTTATTATAACATAAGAGTTTGGATGTTATTTAGGGTTAATTCCATTCTACATAACTTTTACGCTTTTTTGAACTATTTAGGTTATTGGAAAACTGTGCCAAACATTGTTAAGAAGACCTTTGTAAACTTCAAAAACATGTTTGAGCATTCATAAAGTATAGTAAACTTTAATACATATTTATATTTAAAATATTGTTTGTTTTGTTTTGGTTAGCATTCTGCTAACATAACAGAAGATTTACTCTCTTGCCTAGATTCCATGACAAGACTTGTATTAGCAGCTTTCTCTACTTCAGCATTTGCGTGGAAGAACATAGATTTCAAGCAAATTAAGGCCTATGTAATTTTAAGTGGACCAATTTTATCCGGTATATATTAAAATATTTTAACAGTTTGAGACCTGAAATATTAGTGAGATTCTAAGCTCTCTCAGAAAGTATGAGAGAGGATTGGCCCACTTCTCTGGCTAATCTAATGGGAAATAATGTTATATGTTTTTTTAGTTTATTTTATCATTTCTATGGATCGATTCCACCATTCGAATCTTTCTTGCTATACCATCCAAGTGCTATACCTTTAGTAGGACCACTTAAATTAAGCAAACTTCAGTCAAAAATTCAGAGAACTGATTATGAAATACAAAAATGCAAATGTTTGTTTATTAACAATGTGTACTTTTTAATGAAAATATGGATGAAAAAGTAATGAAGTAGTTTTGTAATTTTTTCTCTCGTGGAGGAGTCATTTGGGAAAGCCGTGGTTGCAACACAAAAAAGTTTCCAAAAAATAGTTTCCAGCTATGCAATAATATTGTGCAGTGTTTATCAAACTATTATCTAAACATTTTGTTGTTTTGGTTTGTTCATTTGTTTTGATTAATGAAACCATATAAATTGTGACAACGGTTTGGAAAAAAAACATTTTGTAATTATCTTTCACACTAGAACAGGATTTCAGAAGATAAACTTGCAGGATGATCTGAGAGCAATGAGCTAGTATGAAGTACCCAGGAATACCTAATTTATTTTTCTAATGAAGTGGTGAATATTTCCAGAATATTTTCAAAGTTGTGAGGAAAGAAGCAATTCTTATTTAGGCCTAAATCTTAATATGTAACTGCAAAATGACTACAAGGATTTCCATGTTACTGTGGGGTAGGATGAGGACAAAGGGTACATGCATAGAGTACAGTTTCAGAGCCTGCTTTGATTCTGTGTAAAGTGAATAGAATGGTTCAAAGATCCACTGCTGTTTTATTCTTAGCACTTTATGACACGATCGGAAAATGTGATAAAATATAGCTGAAAAGATCTTTTATGACTCTGAACGGGTTGAAGCTTTCCTTGGTCAACACCAGTTCATTTCACAGAGCTTACCCCAGTAAGCTTTTGAATAATGATGTTATGAGAAAGCAATAATTGTTCCACATATTATAATCAAAAACGTAGTCTGACCTTTTGCATAGGCTACTCATAGTCTGAGCCTAAGTAGGAAGAACAGCTTCTGTGGCTGGCTTGATCTCATCATATGTAGATCTCTCCATCTGGCCTAGTCTGCTTAGGCTCCTCTTGTAGCCCACAGAGAAGAACAGGCACTTCTAGACAGATTTGTCTACTGCTGCAGTAGATGCCCGTAATAATTCAGGTGAATTAGTGCCTTAAATAGGTGTCCATTCTTCTGTTTTGGCTGTAGATGGAACCAAGGGGAACCAGCCCAGAAGTAGATGTCCAAATGTCTATTTTTCATAAAGACAGAGGGAGAAGGCTTTGCAGGGATATGATGGGTGAGGCTTTTGTTCTAGCACTGCAAGTGCTGGCAAGCTCAACTGGCTTGACACAGAGGTGGGGAAAGAAATCTGCACCTGGTTGGCAGAGGTTGTTTCCTTTTAGCGTTATGGGGAAGGGGTCTATTAGAATCAGCTGGGACTCTGAGTTATGGTTCTCTGGTCTTCCCTGGGGCACTCGAACCCTAAACTCTTACCCTTTGTTGGAACAGATTTCAATGTTATTGTTCCTAGACTATGTCCACGTAAGAAAATACTGTACCTCAATGGCAGAGTTCTCAGGCAACTATTATCAAAGCAGTTGTGTAATACAATTCCTAATGTATATGCCTGGACAAATAGAGAAGTATAACTATTTACTCTGTTGAAACTATAATTAAATACAGTATAGAGAGAAAGAAAAAGGAATTAAAATACCTTAAAACATATATGTGGATCTTTATAATGTTCAAAGCCCGAGTGAAAAAGAGCAAGTCTAACAAACTCTTCTGTAATCAAATGGTTGTGTAGAGATCTGCCTGGTAGCGAGAATATGGTCTGCTGCCCTTGTATCCATCAATATGTGTCAGTTAATGAGTGAGCCCTTGCTGAGAAGAGTATGTATAGATATCTATATCTCTGTATATATATAGATATTTCTCCTTTTGAAGAATTCAGATTAATATCTGGTGCAAATAAGTTGACCTAAATTTCTGTATCATATCAATATTAGTCTAAAAATATTTCAAAAAGTAAAAAAAAGGGGGAGTATTGAAGTCTCTATTAATTGCCTTTTGCTGCACTTGCTTTATAATCCATTCACCGATTATCTGTGAAACTTTAATCTTAGAAGTCTTCTAGCTGTGGGAGTTTTTCCCATTGTGATGTCACAACTGATCAGATCTGATTGTTACAATGATTCCACGGAGGAGTTTAGCGCTAATTGTTAAAAGATGTCCATGCTTAAAAAAAAATTAGGCCAGTGATTGTAACCATGCTGTTAATTTCATTTATTGTTCAGAGCATGTTTCAGTTGTGGGAATCAGGTGTGCTTTCTTGATTAAAAATGCACTGAAGATCTGTAGTTTTTCCCTGTGTTGCAGAATCTCCTGAGCTCTAAATGAAGCCATTATGAGTGGGAAGGGTTAATTGTATGGGAAGCCTTGCAGTCAAATACTTCTCGTATACAAAATATATGTCGTGCTACAAAATATTCTATTGTCAATCCAAATAGAACACAAACTAAAACGAGATAATTGGGAAGGTGCCCATAAAGTCAGCCTGAATATATTATCGCAAGTATATGTGAGATAATATTTGTTTTAAAAAGATTCTATGGCACTGTAAACTCAGTCTCATTAGAGACTGCATTTAAAAGGCTTATAAAGTTACTCATTAATGTTATCTTGTTGTATCTCCACAGCTTTTTCATTAAAGAAAATTCAGCAGAAAGCATTTTCTCCTGATAGCAGGAACCAATTTGCAATAAATGTTCTGGAAACCACTAGGGAAGCCATTACTGGGGTCTAATAAAAACAGACAAGCGTAACTTGTTCTATATTTTTGTTTCAATCACATACAGATGAGACCCCGCTCTCCACACCAACCGCAAGAGACAGCCTTGAAAAACTTTCTCTAACTGGGCATGGGCAACCACTACCTCCAGGTTTTCCATCTCCTTTTCTATTCCCTGATGGATTGTCCTCCATAGAGACCCTTCTGACTAACATCCAGGTAGGCCTTTCTGTAGATCAGCTTAAAGGAATGGAGATGAGCCAGTTGCAGATTTGTCTAAATTAATACAACCATTCTAGCTTAATCAGTTCATAAGACTATTTGAATCAACTAATTTAGTGAAACTTTATAGTAATTTAGATTTTAAAGGACCACAACAAACAAATGAATTTAGAAGCTGTCAGATACAGTACATAAAAATATAGATTGTGTATTAAACCACAGCAGAGAATTCAATGAAAATGACATTGGTGTGTTTAACAACATTTGTCTTGAATGCTCTTTTTACTACAGGCTGATGAAATGTATCTTACTGTTTACGTTCATCTCATTTACTAAGCAGAGGAACATTTCTTTAATAAATAGTCATTTTAAATTGCTGATGTGATAAGGTGGAAATGATATTTAAAGCTATTTGAAATGTATCTCTCAAAAAAAAAAATTCACAAAGAGCTTTCTTTTAGAATTAAGCTCGTTTCACTTTGAAGTCTAGTCTTTGAAGACAATACTTTAAGGGTATTACCAAATTTTCTGCAGATTTCCTATTTGGTGGTCAGCATGTCTGTTGGGTCTACAGCACAGCCTGATTCAAATATTATGCAAGGTATACTTGGAGCCATGATATTAGTATTTCAGATTCAAGAATTTTTTCCCTCACAAATTCAACAAGAGAGTGTTCTCCAGATGCAATTTTTGCAATATGATTGTATGTTGCATGCAGAAGCAAAATGGTAGTGCAGGAGGTAGTGCAGCCATATTGTACTCACTGAAGACGTGCCTTGTCTGTGCACTTACTAACCTCTAATGTATTTTTCACAATATTTTTCCTTACTTATTCCTGAAAATTAATAAAATCAATTGTATTCTATTCCGCGAAAACTACAACAGAGCATGGCTAAATTCTGCTCACTTTACTTTCTTAAATAATCTCAATAATATTTATGGAACTTCAGGCTTCTTTTCTGAAACATAACTGGTCCGTTCCTTAGCGATGTTTTGAGATCTAATCCTGAAGAACGCTGCTGTTTAAGAATTAAGCACTGCTATATTTAACTGATCTGAAAGAGCATATTTGTGCTTGCTTTTTGTGGTTCTGAAATTTTGGATCTTAAATATTTATATCAAAAGAACAGGGTAATAGTTAACATTCCTCTAACAGATCTGTTATGATCTGTAAAGAATGTGTTTTTTTCCAAAAGAAGAAATACAGTTAGTAATGTTTTAGCTGTGCATGCATGTATAGGAGAGTTCTTAGTAATTTTTTTGACAAATGTGTGTGCTCAATGTCTCTAGACAGCAACTTAATGAGCAAAGCATTCAGCATCAACAGGTTAGCTAATCTTGTGATTGAATATGAGTGTGCAGCACTACTTCAGGATAAATGACCAGGATTAATTTGCTAAGAATGCATTCAGTTGTGTTTTACAGAAAATATGAATGTGAAATTCAGTCATTGCTTTTTTTTTTTTTTTTCTCTTTTTTAACTAATCTCATGTATGGTGAACTGCTAAAATGAAAGGCATAGACTTCTTTATGCCTTTTCTAATTGTGGTATACTACTTACTGCTCCTTACCTTGAGTTTCTACATGATGACAAATCGCCTATCAGGGTTAACAGGTGGAACATAAATCCCACTGGATTTTTTCAGTATGTTGCCATGTCTCACTGCATGGTTTCCACAGATGACTAGAAATATTTTCCCATACCCTCAGGACGTCTTCTTTTTTCCCCCCCTCCGGAAGCTGAATAGCTTTCAGGACTACAGTAGAAAAGGATTTAAAAATAATAAAAAAATGTAGTTAGTTCAATTTTCCCAGCTGTGTATAAAAGGTACATATTCTCTTGAAAAGAGTGTATTAAAATAACCTGTCCACAATAGTGGCGGTTACTCTAATCAGTGCCATTTAAAAAAATGGTTTCCATATTCAGTGATTATTATACTGAGAGGCGGCTACCCCAGACTCACAGAAGAGTTAGGTACCCTGATGCTGACACTTTCAGAACTAAATTTTAAGTATCTGACAAGAAGTTCAAGCTCCTTAACAGGTTTTGTGGAGAGAGGAAATTCTGTGTTATGTTCCCTGCTCCCAGCATTATTTTATTACTTTGTTAGGAAGTAAGTGCTACCTAAAACCCATAAATGCCTATCATACATGAGCCAGAAGCACTTTTGTCAATGAGTAATTCATCTTAACTCTCCTTTTGTCTAGAAGAATTTTGCATCCCTTTCAGTACAAGAGTCTAGATTTAAAGGAGAGGCAGAGTAGTAACCTCCCTTCACCATTCTACTGTTCTGGCTTCACCAGCTTTAAGGATAGAGGTTGCCAGCAATGAGACTAACTTTCTAGAGAAAGTGGTCACCTACTTTCCATCTCCTGCCTCTGATGCTGAGGTACTTTTGAAATAAAAAATGGCAGAAATCTAGCCAAAGTCTAGGTAAGTGATTTTGGTAAAGGCTGCTGTTTTTTTGTATAGGGCCATGCATGACTAAAATATGACACATCTTTTCATATGATGGGTTTACGTCTGCTCATGAAGTGAAAGTGTAGGTCTTTGTTAGGTCATGAGACTGGGGTCTCTGCATGACCTGCTGCATGCAGGTGTAGGTATTCGTGCAGTGGTGGAGGACCCCTATATTTGAGGGATATGATGGTCACATCTAGTCACATGGTTAAATAGGCAAGTAGCCTCTGGCTGCTCCCTATAGCCTCTGGCTTATAGGGATGTGATAATGGATAGCTGTGTTATGATCACATTATGTATATTCAGTCGCGTGAGGGAAAGGAGCTGCACATTATAGATGGTGAGTGCCTCCAGAAGAGCTTGTAGCATCTGTTCTGCGTGAAGATCTGGGCTAGGATAATCTCCGGGTAGTAGAAGCTCTTAACTTTGAATTTTGTCAGGGTGAGTAGGATCCTAAACCTGGCCATGGGAACAGTGCTTTTGGGTATGTGAGTATAAAATGTGTAGACGCTCTGGGTAGCTGAAACCAAAAAGTATTGAAAGTCTTGCAAGTGCTGAAGCATTTAGGCGATGGCTGTCGCTTGGACTTGGTGCCTAAGTCTACCTATTTCCATTTTAGAAGACTGAATTATCCTTTGAAATTGACCCCTAAATGCAAGGCGAGTCTACGTCTTCCATACTACAGTTAAATGAATAGTCCATAATCATTAAACTATAACTTTAGGGAAATGTAGGGCAGGTCTATTTGCTATAGCTTTCTTCAATATTTTCAATTTGGTTTATTTCCTTTTTAAAATCATATATATATATATATATATGTATAATATGTATGTGTATATATATGTATATATGTGTGTGCATGTATGTTTTTTCTTATTTCGCCATGAAGACATATTGAAACAAAAATACAATGTTTAATTATTTGTACTTTTGCAGAGGAGATAATGACTACACAGTCAGTACTTAGAACAAATGGGCTTTAATTCTAGCAGGGGACTGTTGAAATGCAAATAAAAAAAATATAATTAAACAAATACACACATAAAATAAGTAAACCAGATCTGGGACATATTTTCATATTCAGATGTATATCTATGCAACTAAAATAAATAGAAAATGAATTTCCCCAGAAAGTTAATTTAAGTGATTTATCTCTTTCTTCTCCATGTACATTTGTTAATTTCTTCCAGATTAAATTCTGGAAGTCTGTGTGCAGCTGCAGAGAGGAGGAAAGGTGATGGAAGGTGGGTCACAGCAAAACGCTGTGTGGGTGCTAGTGAGAAGGCTAAAGATGTTTCTGTACCTCTCACATAAGTTCACCTTTTTAGAGTCATGGCCCAATTATGCCAAAGTATGGTGATACTTGGTGATACTGCAATATTCTTGGGTAATAGTAATGTTATTTTAAGCTTTTAGAGTCTGAATCCGTACAGTTCCTGAGCTGAATTTCCATTAATATCTACAGGATGAATTAGTTGCACCTTGATAAGCTATATTTTTCTATCAACCAGGACTGTATTATACTGACATAACCTTGTTGCTAAGTGTTTTTTAAAGATATATGTAAAGTAAGCTGCAAGTATGCCATTGATGTTAATAAAGAAATATACGATTACAAACTAAATTCCCCTATGAAAACAAAGCAAACAACTGCCTTTATTGCAGTGAATTTCCCACACTGTTACCATCTATGCCTAAACACATAGGAAAAAAATATTGCAAACACTGGACAAAATGTAAGTCACGATTTGACTTCATGTTATTTTGTCTTCTGCTAAAATTCAAGCGAATGATTTTGTTTTTCACAGAAAATGTTAATGGAAAAATGTCATTTATATTTGTGCAATATGCCTTTGCCTATGATGGAGATATTCAATCAGAGGTATTGCAAAAAATGACTTTCTGGAGTAATTTGTTGTGATAGTCAAGAAGCTGTGTTGTGTGATTGCTTATGTTACTAAGTCAGTTACAAATAGCAAATACTCAAAATTTTCACTGTTAAAGACTTTGCTAAAAATGAGTATATATAGGTAGATAGCTATAGATACAGGTATAGATATATAGATGCCTGTTTAGCAAGTCCTTCACTAGAAGGATTTGATAATGGAAGCATACAATTTATATGTAATTTCCTGACTAAAAGACAGGCAATGTTATTTGAAAATGCTTTCACCATGAACAGTAAATACTGCGAAAGGAAGACCCTGAACTACAATTCTCTGCAAGCTGAGAGCTTTGACTGGGAAAGTTTCTCTGCATGCGTGTCCTATTCTTGCAGTTTTCCTTACTCATCCCTTAGTCATTGTTGGAAGCAGGTCATGGTCTGCTAGATAGACCTCCAGCCTAACTAGTATGGCCATTCTTATGTCATGTGTAAGTACATATATCTAACTAAAGTGTATTACATGGAACACACTGTTAATGTAACTAGATTAAACAGAAGAGGTTTCTAAGCACCTTTTGGATTTCTTGTCTTCTTTCAAAACAGGCAACATATTGATGCATTTTTTTAAAAAAATAGTGATGAGGAATATTGGCTTTAAGGCTGAGATGAAGGCCATTATATGCTTAATTTCTAAAGGATCAGTAGACTGCCCTAACAAGATGGTATTTTCAGATACATGGGAGAATTATCAATAGTCAGTGAATGGGAAGAAACATCAGCCTGACTTTTTGGGGAGGGAGGACTTTTATGAAGAATTTGTCAATGGAAAATACTAAAATAAGTACAGTAAAATAAACAAATAGTATCATAGTGGTCTATAAATCTCCAGGGGAGCAATGTCAACTTTTTACATTATCTTGAAATCAAGAAATTTTATTAATGGTGACATACAGGCGGAAAATGGAATGGCATGTGCAAAACCTGGCTCCTGATAGAGCCATATTGTATTAAAAACAAATCTGGAATCTGAGCGTATTCACTACAGTTATCATTATCCAGCCTCCGTAACATCTGACCTTCCCTAAAGGGAAATATTTTCTTTTTGTTAATGTCGTGAGTTGCACTGCATTTCCCGTTGTCATTGGCAGCATATTGATTTAATATCAGGTTAGAGGATTAGCCATAGCAAATACAAGTTGGACATACTGTATTTTGTATAATCTTTTACAGATGATCCACTGGGAGAATTAATAGAATTTCATACAACTCTGAAGTTGCTATCCCTATTCCAAAGTGCATTGATGATTTTTAAATGCTGTACTTTTTAGTTGATTTTCTCACCCACTTCTGCACTGAAAACAGGGAGATATTGAATGTTTCCAGTATTTTTGCATTAGAGCTGTCACTGGCAGCAACAGCACTTTTGCATATGTATCAGTTTGGCTGTAGTGCAGATTTTTTTTTTTTTGCGTTGGACGCCTACTGATGTGCACTGATTTAACTTCTAAAAATGAAACTTAATTTTGTGTAGCTTATAAGTAGTCCCTAGTGGGTCTTGGCTCCAAAAAGCTAATATTTTTCAGACATAATCAGCAGCAATAGGTAATGTATTACCATTAGCTATGTTAGCAGCAAGTATAAAAAAAGGGAAGGTGGAGGGAGGAAGTATGATGTAGAAATTCAACAGAAGATGTGATATGCTTTTGGGAGCTTCATATTTTGCAGCAATTCTTAATATAAAATAACACACATCAGCGTTAAACTGTGGCATTATTCTCCATGCTTATTCATAATGATTGTTTCATATTTAAAGAACACCAAAATATTGTGTTTTGTCAGCCAAGGACAATAATAGTTTAATAGTAATTTATTTTAAACTGCTACTGATAATACAACCAATCAACACATTAAGTGGTGCCAACATTGGCATCTTGCTAAATAATCTCTAGGCTTTGCACTGAGAGTACATCTTTCAAAGATAAGTCAACAAGAGCAATCAGAGCAGAAAATTAGAATTTGGTATCTTAGAATTAAAATACAGCTAAACTAAAGTTTTAATTGGGGTGATCTAAAAGGGCACTTGATGTAATGATCTCTTTCATTTGTTACTAATTGTTTGTTCCTGATGAAGAAGAAACATGTGCATGAATGTAGTTGAATTGAGTAAAGATGGCAGTTGCCTTAGCAGCTTAATTTTATTGTTAAACAAGATGGATTGTCAGAATTTGGAGGAAAGGAGTTTACACCTTTAAAATTTTGTGACAATTTATTTTGCATAAAAGAATACTTGTTTATATAGCTTCACTTGGTTTGGTTTATTAGTGATCTGGATGAATCACGTGTTCCAGTACGTGACAAACTGGAGGGAATTATAGTATTTTAGAGTTCCAGCATATGCCAAAGTCTGGTATTGGTAAATAACTCCTACAGATCCTATCACTTGATTTTCTAACTATTTCAGTAGCATCCTTTACAGAAGATATAGTTTGTGATGGCTGTAAACATAACGTTTTTTGTTTTTTTTTCTGTAATAATGGGGGCCAGAATTTTAGAATATTACAAAAATAGATTGGGAAGTCCTTACAAGTATTTTAAATCATATTTTACTTTGAATATGGCTGTTGGGCTTCTTATTTAGCTTTAAATGTTTCTCTTTAGTAGTCACCCAAGTTTAAAATTCAAGACAAAATACTTTTGCGTTAGATATTTTAGAATAGCTTTCAGTTCTTTTAAAGAAAGCTGCTAAAACCATAAGCATATTTGTAAGCAAATTTGTTGTGCTGAGGTTGATAGATCCTTTCAAATATGCTTCCATACTCATTAATGTAAATATCATACTTCCCTCACCTATAGTATGCAGCATTTTCATGACCATCTGGTCCTTGCAGTCTGAAGGTGTTGAGTTCTTTTGGCTCCTGTGGACTTTAATAGATAGAAATGCAATAGAACTGCAAAGCATTAAGCTCTGACTTAGACAACACTTGAGGCAACAATTTAGCTAAGAATGAGGATGAGGAATACTGAAAATAATAGCCTCTGAAAACAGCTGGACATAAAAGGGGCTTGAAGGACACAAATTTAAAAGCAGGCATTGACATTGGGAAAGCTAGGAGAAGAAATGTGCAGAGTAACACTCACGAAAAGTACTTTTTCCTGTTTTTCTAGTATCATGATGTTGGATATTTTTTTCATTCCTTTGGGGGATATGTTAAAGAGATTTAGTGAAAAATATGCAACGCAGAATCTAAGTTAGGAAACTTGCCTGAGCAGAGAAGGAATTCGTTTGGGAGTTGGGGGACATGATTTCAAGGCCTTACTATGCTTATTTTGAAACAGGGTCTTGATCATGAACCTCTTACCTGTTAGCTGAATGCTCCCCTGACATAGCCATTGAGGAGTATTCTTCAGTCTCTCTTGTTGCCATTGTTTTGTTTTATATCAGTAATTAAATCTCTGTTGGGTCAAATTATCACAACAGTTAAGTTGTCAGGAGACCTGCCTGGGATATAGAAGAGTCAGGTTCCTATCCATACTCCATACTTAATTATCTGCCTTTACTATGATAGCTTCAAGGAGAGATTTAGTTATAATCCCAAGAGCCTGATGGCCAGGCTTCTGAATACAGAAATCTTTCCTCTTTCCTCTTTCCATATTCATTTCTCTCAATCGCATTTCTTCTCTTTTTCATACCCTGTCTCAGTGTCCGAACTATCTAGCTATTGGCTATGCTGGGATCTTTCTATTTTCTCGGGAAAAAGAAGGAAATCTCAAGAAAAATTTACAATAGGATGGAGCGTTAGGTACTGATACAATAGCAAAAAGAAGTTGCAGTTTATTTCAACAGTCTCAGGTCAAGAAAGTGAGAGATATTTGCATGTTGATCTCTGCTGCGAGATATTCAGTGAACAGACTTTTCAAGACAGAGATGATTACTACTTTACAGAGATAACTACTTCCTACTCTAATAAACTAATAATGAGCAAAATGGCACATTTTTAAAAGATTCTTTCTTTAATAAATCCCTTTGGTAATTTCCATTGGCTCAAGTTATACTAGTGATTGAATTTGCTATTCTATGGATGATAAATAGTGAGACTGCCACTTCTTTTTCAGTGGGACAGCCTTTTATTTTAGTCACTGACAAGCACCTTGTGTATACTTGCCTGTTGCACTTTTATCTCTTATAAAGAATAAACCTATCCCTGCAACTTGTTCACATTATTTATATGCATATTCACTGGCCACCTTGAGTCTACTTTGGAAACTTGACTCCCTGTCTTTTTATAGATTTTGTCTACCTGCTAAAATTCATTACAGTAAAAAATTGCTGGTGATAATTGGTATGCTATGAGTTTGTAGCAGGATTATTTCATTGCTGAAATATCACATGACTAATGAAAGAAAAACAACAGAAGTTTTTTATTATGTTAGCTGCTCTAACATTCTTCAAACATTACAATATCCAACTTTATCTTTAAACAGGGTCTACTAAAGGTTGCTATAGACAATGCCAGAGCTCAAGAGAAACAGGTCCAACTGGAAAAGACAGAGCTGAAGATGGAGCTCTTCAGGGAACGAGAACTGAGGGAAACACTTGAAAAACAGTTGGCTGTGGAGCAGAAGAACAGAGGTATCTTACAGACACTTAAGCAGACATAACATCTTTGTAATCTATTTGCTTAGAAAACCTCATTTTAATCAAAGACCAGATTTTGATCAAAACTCTTCCTCTTAGCTCATTTTATAGCCAGGCTGACAGCAATGCAGGAATTTATACAAACTGCCACACAGAAACAAATTCTGTGTGGTACCTTCATGAGATTTAGAATGAGGACCTTCCTTTTTCTCAGTTTTTTTCCTTCAGTATTACTTGTTACAACATATCAGTAGTATGCAATGCAATTTTAAATGGCATAACTGCAGTTATGGACTTTGGCAGGTTATTATCCCCTATCAAAAAGGGATAGCTTCTTAATCCAAACACAGTTTATATCAAATTTAAGAATCTGCAAGGTTTGATGAGCTCCTATCTCTGCTTTTATGTGGTAGGGTCATATTTAGGCACATTTAGGCAATAGGTATATAATAGTTATGAAGACATTACTAATATTTAAGCCCTTTTTAATGCTCAGTAGGTTAAATACCTGCTTATCTGTTCCTTATGAGAGGAACAGCTACGGTTCTTCTTGATAAGGCAACATTAGTAGAAAATTAACGCCCTGTAAAACGTATGCAAGCAATATATTAAACATTTTTTAATAATTTCTTTATAATGTTTCAATATACCATCTAAAACAATAATAATAAAGGTAAGACAGTTTACAGTAATTTGCATTAACTATTTGCATTGCAAGCATGTTCACGTCTTGCTTTAGGGTTCTACTTTTCTATATGTGTATGTCTTACCTTTTAATAGTGTCTAATTACTCTGCAAGGGACAGTTAACCTCTGGGGTTCACTAGGTGTTTAACATAGACCTTGACAAGTGAAAAATGTATTTTTGGAGGGCTAGAATTGTAACTCTTTTTTTGCCCAGTTTAATTTTCTGTGAAACGGCTAAATAAGATATCCCTGTGTAAGAGCTCAAACTGAGAAGACTAGAATTCAAACAGTATCATTATATCTTTATCTAAACAACATTCTCTCAGTAAGTAAGCGATGTAATCCTATTTCATGCCTTGACCCATTAAAGGTTATGACTGTCACACCATTAATTTCCGTTTTTAAACTTATGAGAATATATTATTAAAGACATTTACTATTAATAATTATCATAACTGTGCAATGAATCGTCCCATTGTCCACAACTGGCCTATTTTGCTCAATACCGTCACACTACTTACACTTTTAAAATAATTTTCTAAAAGAGTTAACTTATTCTTCACAATTTTGTCTAATTCTATGTCCCCCAACAACTTGATCATATCTTCCTATTCAGACTCGGGCAACCATATGTGCTGCAGAAAAGGTAAAAGTGGGGAACCATCTGACCTTAGTTAAGCCACCTACAAGTGAAGCACTAGTTTAAGCTCAGAATATAAGTTCCCTTTTTAGTCAATAAAGAAAGAAAATTTCCTGCATCCTGTTCTCAGGCAGGTAAGTGGGATCAATTACATTGTGGAGAATTGTTTTTCTCCCTGTGAGCTCTAAAGGGAATAAAATTGACTAGGCTGGACTAGACACATATGTTTTGAACAGCTAAAATTAGGCAAACTGAATTTCACTCAAACTTGTAAGTCAAGGAAGAGCTTATTTTATGCAGGATACTGAAATAATTGCCAGTGTTATTTTCAGCACTATGTGTTGCCTGCTTTTTTACATGTATCCCTCTAATGATGATATTGCACTGGTAAAAGAGTCAGAACAAAGAGGAATGGAATTGAGCACTTAATAGTGGTATGCAGTAAAATAGATATAATGAGGATGACTGTCTCTGCTAGGGGATTCTGTGATATAAAAGAAAGAAAAATAATAAGTTATTCTTTAAAATGGACAGAGCCAAATAGGAGAAAAGAAGTAATGCCAGGTTATGATTACATCGAGAATTCATTTCTTCAATTAAAGACAGAAAAATATATAGGAAGCTTTACCTCCTATTAGTTTTCCAAATAGCAACTGTCATACTTTAAAGAATATTTCGCATGTTTTAATGGAACCGTGAGCAAGCTGAAAGGAGTGTAACCATAGCCCTATTAAGTTAAGAGCTTTACTGTGAAAAAGCTGAAATACACTTAAATGCTATGGCGTATAAACATGTGGACTGTGTCACACACAGGTCAAATCCCATTAGATGAAACCTCTTCCCATGATCTTCAGCATTAGGCAACCTATATCAATGTCTATCTGTTGCTAGTCGTCTTAAAACAAAACAAATATCTTTTTTCTTTGGTGGCAGATTATCTGAATATTTTAGCCATTTCTGGGAATATTAAATTCACTGCTGCTACAGTATCTTCTATAGCGCTGCCTATTTGCTGTACTATTTCCTTCTTTCTTTGTATGTATTCCAATTAGTGATTCCTAAGACTGTAGGATGTGTCTCATCAGCTAGTGAAAGTAGGATAATATCTCTTCTGTGAGCAGCTACACAGTAAGGGTTTGCTAATTCTGGCTCTGACTGCTGTAGTCACATCTACAAAGTGTCAGCCATGATGACATTTTAATTCAGAAAGCAACATATGTTTCCTTCTCATTTATTGCAATCACTTTCAAAGTACTTAAAATGAAAACATTAAAACCCGTGCAGTGATTCAAAATGTATTTAGTTTAGCCTTTGTATAGATACCTGTACTTTGATAGGATAAGCTAATAAATGTACAAAATAGTCAATACTATACCAAACGAAAAAGAGCCAAAATTCCAGTACCTCGGATGTAAATGACTTACCTACCCCGTAGTCAAAATAGTTATTTATATTCATTTTGTGTCAGACTGTTCAGTATAGCAATACAAAATATCCCAGGTCACCCCAGAAGTGCTCATTCTTAGAATATACATTAAATAGTAATAATGACAATGGTTCACTTTAAAAGTTTTGTTTGTATTTTGTGAAAGATGACTCCGTCACAGACTGCTGGAAACTGGGAGCGTGTACTGGCAGAGGTACAAGGGTAGATGAATCTTTGGTCAAGCCTAGCGTGTTTGGTTTTGTTAATGGCCGTTCTTCTGCAGTTAGCCTGACAATAACAGGCTCTCCAGAAGAGGGCTATCCGGGGAGATCTTATGGAAAATCAGCCTCCCTTATTTTAGTACGTGTGCACATCCCTGAAAACCCTGGAGGCGCCTTGTAAGAAGGGGTGGGATGTGATGGGGAAGAAAATGATGTGCTGTGGAACTTTATATGATTTCTTTAGAGGCTCGGTTTGGTTTTCACTGACTAGCAAAAATTGCTTCACCTTATTCTTCTCCATCAGGGATACAACCTGGTGCGTTGCTTCGGTTAGGGACCATGGAAGTTTTACTCCTGTGGTTGCACGTTGCAAGGAACTCACTGATAACATAGAAAAAAAAAAAAAAGTTTCTCTAAAAGCACCACTTGTACGTGCCGAGCGGTCCGGTCTCCCTCTGGTGGGAGAGACGCGGCAGGCAGGCAGGCGACACCGAGCGCTGTGCACGCGCTGTCCCTGCGCCGAGGGGGGTTACAAAATGGTGGGCTTCATCCCAGAAACTCCTGGCCTCTGGAGGCAGCAGCATACCTGCGTCAGAGGGTGCAAAAAGTAAATTTCATGGCCAGATCCAGGGCTTTCTGCTTTGGGCATTCACATCGTCCTTATCTCTGTTTCTAAAAAAAAAGCTGTAGCTGAATATTCAGTGTGCAGGAGCATGGTGTAGAACAGTAGCTCTTAAAATATCCCGTTGTGATTCCAGCAAATATCAAGTATTTTAAATCAGTGTTGAAAAATTAAACAGTTTATATGAACTGAGGCAGTTGCCTAATTCCTAGGAACTCTTCATAGTTAATCATGTAACCAAGCTTCAGACCCAAACTTGAGCATACTGATTTTATTTTTCCCAGCAATAATTCAGAAAAGGTTAAAGAAGGAAAAGAAGGCAAAGAGGAAATTGCAGGAAGCACTTGAATTTGAGACTAAACGACGGGAGCAAGCAGAACAGACGCTGAAACAGGCAGCTTCGACAGATAGTCTCAGGGCCCTAAATGGTAAGAAGCCAGTTTTTGCCTCTGTGTCATTAACTTTTAGTTTAAGTGCCAAAAGAAGCTTATAATATTGATAATTTATAACATGGTGTGTGTTTCGGAGGAAAACGATCTGTTTTCTCTCTTTGTTGTTTTGTGACTATGTATATCATGTGCAAATAAATTTACTGGAGAGAATGTCCAAACTGGTGCAATTTTATATTATTAGCTTGAAAAGTCAATTTTTTTTTTCTTTTTCTCCTCTCCCTTCCCTCCCTCTCCCCCCCTTTAAGCTTGAAAAATCTATTGCTCATTAATCTTCCTAGTCTAACAAAAAATTGTCCTGGCCTCCAGTCATTGTTCAACATTAAAAAAACTGACAAAGGTTGATTGTATTGTAATTCAGCATTGGAGTAACAGGTTGTAAAAAGGGCTATAAGAATCCAATGAAATATGTGTCAGTCTTACCTTTCTGTGCTTCTAGACTCTCTGACCCCAGAGATAGAAGCTGACCGCAGCGGGGGCAGAACAGATGCTGAAAGGACAATACAAGGTAGGAATTTGCAAAAGGCTATAAATCTAGATCTTGCTATATGAGTTTTTCCTCAGCTTTAGACTGCTATTCAAGCATGTAGCCTACCATCTGGGCCACATCAAAACAAGTTCAAACAAGGTCAAGTTCATCTTGCCTGTTTATCAGAGAGAATACATTCTGTGCTGATAGATTTTCTTTAAATTAATAGGTCATTTCTGTTTATACAAAGCAATTAAAGAAGAATAATTAATTTGAAGCAATGTTGGGCTGAATCCTAGACATGCTAAATGCAGTTTTTGTGAAAATATATATAGATAGATTTAGGATAACAGTGTTTTTAAAGGTATATTTGAAACATTTTGAGCCCTTTAACTATATAAATGGCTAAACCTAATGTGTAACATTCAAGGCCTGATGAGAACTTCACAGCAAATATTCAGTGGCAGTTATTGAAAGGTGTGCTTCAGTAAGCTGCTGTAAACACTAACGATAAATAAACCGTTTATTCCCTTCTTGGATTTTTCGTTTACCCCATGTTCTCTATCCCATTATTTACATTTTAATAAAACAAATCTGCTGAGTAAATTTAGATGTGAAATACTGAAGGGATTCATATTTCTTCCTCTGTGAATCTAAATGTATATATATTGCAAACACTGAGCTATTAGTAAAGAACAAATTTTTAAGATAGCATTTATGTTATAATGTCTTCTCCGCTCAACAAGCTAAATCTACCTACATGAATACTAAACAGCAAAAATAGCATTTGTTTTCAATTGTAAATGAAGGTGCAATTTTCAAAGGCAAGCCTAAAATGATTAGCTCCAGTAATCACTCTCAATTGCCTTTATTTTGCATTTTGAAGTCAATCATCTTAAGAGTATCATTTGACATCTACTGTGTGTTATTTAATCACTTTTTCTAACTCCTAAAGAGTTGATACTGGTGTGCCATAAGGAGACTGTAACAACAAAATAAAAAATCAACAAGCTTTTAGTATATTGCGCATAGAAAACAAATACAAAAAAGGCAGTAAGTTCTTATGTAAGAAAAACACACATGCGTATACACACCAACATTTATATTTAAAGCAAGTTGTCTGCAAAGTCAGTAACTCAGAAGATAGGTTATGCCAGATTAAAAGTTGCCTGGGAAGTGGGTATACATCATGATGTTTTTTGTTCCAGAATCATGTTTTTCCTCCCATAAAACATATGCCTTATTCAAAGCACCTTTTGATTGAATTCATTTAGTAAGAATCCAGTCATTATGTTATTTTATCATAATTTTTTGCTTCCTCATGACATCTTTGCTACAAAAAGACTGATGAGAAGACAGACTTCTAATCTCATTGGAGTCCTTTCTATTACACTAGTCACTGTGGTATCGGAGCTCTTTGCAAAAATTAATTACTTTATCTTCAGAACATTCCTGCAGGGAAGTCAAGTTTGGAGTAGTCCTATTTTAAAGATGGGAAACTGAGTCACAGAAAGATTAAGGTGACAAGTTGTTTAACTTTCAAGTAACAAGGACCAGCTCTTACTTCAGGATACTTTGTGTTTTTAGCCAGTATACATTCAGATCACTGTTGATGTTAAATTCGGTTTCAATTGTGAGCTGAGATACCAAGCTGCATATTCATAAAATCAGCAACGAACAATTACTAAGTATTCTGGAAGATGATATTTTAAAGGACCCAATCTCAAATTACACAGGAACAACATTTAAGGTTTTTTAACCATGATTATTCTTTCTCTTCCAACTATTCTCTGCCTACTTATGCTCATTATATAAATATATAATGATTTATAATATAATATATAATTTATAATATATAAATATACAATTTCTGTAACAAATGAAATCAAGGTCTTACAGGGAACACTACCATTAATGTCGATTTTTCCATTATTCTTCTGCTCAGGGAAGTGCAAGAAAAAACAAACAAGCAAATAAACATAAGATTATTTAATTAAAGACTGAACCATAATATATTTTGATCATGATACTGGATTGCATTGCAAAGGCAACCTTAATTCTGACATTTTCTGTCTCTACTTTGCAGTCTTAGCATACAAGTAAAGCAGTTTTTAGGGAGGGAAAAAGAAGCAAGAGATAGACTTAGTAATTTCTTATCGTTTAATATATTCACCCTAGCCATCATATACAGCAGCTGATAACTTTTAGATCTACCACACAAAACTTTGTAACATGTGTAGCTCTCTGAAACAAATATAGCAGTAGAAGGTTATTGTCTTTGTGGATCAGCCATAATAAAGGTGACAGGTTTCAGAAATAATTATTAATAGAAGAGTAATGTGCATGTCACGACTCTTCATGTTCACTTCCAGTATTGGAGATTCCCCAAGAGCTCCCTTTCCTCCGTGCTCCCTTTACTGTGTATTCCTGATGCTCCTGTATCTCTGTGTACCAGATCCTTCTAGTTGCGTTTTCCTTGCTTCAGTTTCAGCTTTTTTTGACAGCTAATCTCATTCTCTTTTCTGTCTGTACGTTTTATTTCCCCCTAACCTCATAATGCCTAAATACCCATTCTTTAAGCCTTTTCTTCTGGACTCAGTTTCATGCTACCCTTGTTGTTTCTTCAACTACAGCACCTTCTGTCCTTCCCGTCACCTACGCTGCTTGTCCAGCCATTTCGTGAATCCACACGCCGTTGACATCCCCCTTATCCACCTTTCCTGCTTGGTACCACATCACAGTCCGTCCCCCCCCATTCCCCCGCATCAAGCTCACATCTCCTCCTGCTTTTGGTGCACGTTCTATTTCTTCCTCTGCATCAGCCTAGATGTCAGGAAAGGGAGCACTGAGAGAAAAACAAAGATAATCTCTGAATTCCTATTTCAGCGTTTAACACAGCAATGGTTTGCAGAAATGAGCAGAGACAGTTGCAGGGAAGGAAATGCTTGATTCCTGCAGCTCCGGCATAAAATATGCTCAATAGAGAAGGAGTGAATTAGTGAATTTAGCTGCAAAACTCTACAAATTATTTTCAGTGGCTGAGACTGGGGATTTTTCCAAAGCTCTTTCCAATTTTCACAGGGCACATCCTTCCAGTTTTTTAAGAGTTCAATTATGTACTTAGATGGTGTTTCGGTATCTGTAAATGTTATGTTATATACTGTACTATGTACTGTAGAAGAATTATTCCATAGAGTATAGAATATATTCTATAATATAGAATGTAATATTATATCTTTCATGCTTTTAGTTTCTGGAAGAAATATTTACTAGGGAAATACTTATGCCTTTGCTAATCCTCTCAGAAGTATATCTATGCCTTTATCTATCTGTATCAGTATATCAAAGTATAGCTGGGGTAGTAGTGTCTTTAACCACAATCATTAATCTTTTAAATTTACTATATTGAACATGCTCTGCAGTTCTATAACTAAGCAAATAAACGTAGGAGAGCTTCAGTATTCCGTGGGGAAGTGAAATAATTGAACTAGCAAGTGTAATGTCAGTATTTAATAAAATATTATGCAGGGAAATAATGACTAAAAATAAGGATTTTATCTCCTATTTATTATAAATAAAAAAGATTCCTGTCAACTTGAAATTATACTTAATGTTGATATTTTTAAATATCGGTTTTATGAGTAAGGAACAAGACTAATTTAAGGTAACAAGACTAATTTAAGGTAAAAGATGATTGCATTTGTCAATAAGTGGAATATATTCTTTTTTTTTTTTGTGATGTAGCACTCATTCAAAATCACATTTAAGTTTATGTAAAGTCTTTTTTAAAATGGGAAAGATATATAGAAAGAATTTGAATATGAGACTATAAAAATAAGCAATAAAGGGTATTTTAGTTCATTTTTTCAAATATTGGGTAGATAACAGTTTACTGGGTTATCCATAAAATGCTAACAAATAATCATAGTAAAAAAATCCAAATATGAAACTCAGACATACTTACATATATTTTAACAGATACAAGCAGATACTAAGTTTTTATTAGGAACTGGTGTAGACACTGGTTTTAATTGTTTTCTTTTTTGCTTCTGTTTAAAATAACAATAAAGCAGATTATCCTCTTCTCCGTACATATTGTAGGTTCACTAGATGCCTATGCCTAGCTCCCAATCCGGTTTCCCAAGACCCCCTCATCCCACACAAAAAGGTACCATACAAGAAAATGTTTGACTTTTATTGTTTTGTTACCAGACCTCTTAATAAGAACTAGAACAAATGACATTTACTACCGCTCTTATTTTCTGCCTTTTTTCCATTGGCTTTCTCTTCTCCATCTGCTTACCTATCATATATTTGTCTACCTACATTATTAGTTTTTCTTTTTCCTCTGTAAATCTCTCATTCCTCATGTTCTGTCTCCCAAGAGTTTCCCCTCCCAAATCCTGTATATGCATAATCTTCGTTCCATCTCTTCCTTTACACGTTAGCTAAACTCACCAAAAATTGCCTACTTTTGCACTGTGCTCCCTACTAACCGTTCTTTTCTTTTCACCTGATATCTCACTCATGTCTTCCTTTTCCCAGCCTGGCTTTTCTGGTTTTTGTGCTTTTTTTTTTTACAAAGCCGTCCTTATGAGAACAGGAAGCTTAACCGAATTATATGTCTCTCAGGCTGCTCTTTTGCTTATCTACTCCATTTCTTTCTTATTTTCTAGTAACGCCCTGTCTTTTTCAGCTCATTTCCAACTTCCACATCCCTTCATTCCGGCTTCTTCTGAAACCAGCTCTGTCACTCTCTTCTAACAGGTTTTTCTTCTTATCCTGACCAGCTTCATTGAATTCTCAGGCCTATTATATTTGTTTGTTTGTTTGTTTGTTTTCAAATGTTTCTTTATGTTCAAAGAAATAATTTGCCCTTTACCCATTCTGAAATTTTTCTTGTCCCACTCCTCTCTCTCCATCACTCTTCCCCTCCTAGGTACTCTTCTGTAGCCCAGTATTTGTTCTCTTTGATCAGCGATCAGAATTTCATATACCAGGTCCTCATTCTACTGCAAATATATGTGTATACGTTTCCC